CTAAGATCTAATAATACAAGTACAGAGACAAGTCCATTGTCAGAAGCAATCAAAAGGTCATTATTAACTTTAACCAGAGCTGTCTCTGTGCTGTGATGAACTCTAAATCCTGACTGAAAATCCTCAAATAAGTTCACAACTGTTTGGCGACCACTTTCCCCAGGATTTTAGAGAGAAAGATGAGGTTTGAGGTAAAAAAAAACAAACAACAGGTAAACACACAAACAGCCTGTACTACGTAGCAGGATTTGGGTTCAGCACGGTAACGCCATGGTAACTGATGTAAACAGCTTATTTGCTCTGGTTCAACTCTATAAAATCACTAAAGCTCTACTTGTTGTACTGTAAGATATGAAAGTGAGTCTACTGACCACTTTTAATTATGTGTTTAGATTTATTGTTTATTCATCCGTCTGTTTCCGACTGCTCAGAAGAAATGTGGCGTTGTTGTTTGATGGATATGCGTTTTTGTGTTTGACAGAGGAACAAGGAGCTGGAGGAATGTATAGAAGCACAGAAACGACAGATTAAAGAGCTGGAGGAGAAGGTAATACTTCTAGTACTACTAATACTACTACTACTACTTCTACTAAACGCATAGAAACAATAAAGTCTGGTTTTGGATGAAAACATTAGGAGATATTAATATACAGTCAGTCCAGCGTTCACGTCACCACAGAAAAACACTGTAAAAGCTAACAATCTGACTCTCCACTGTTTTCTTCTTTTTCTGTTAGTTTCTATTTCTGTTTCTATTCTTCTCTTTGGCCTTCATCCTCTGGTCCTAAAAGCAGCTGGTGAGTCTCACAGCAACATGCTTTACTGTCGTGCAACAAGGGTTGTTCGGATTTACAGTTGGGCAACTCATTTTACTGCTAGGCATCATGAGTAACTGCAGGGTAACAAGTCTATGCAAGATCCACAGGGTTTATCTCAGGTATAGAGGGTGTACCCCAAGTCCACAGGGTTGATTTCAGGTTCACAGAGTTTATGCAAGTTATACAGGGTTTACCACAGATACACAGGGTTTACCCTAGGTACACAGGGTTAACCCTAGGGACACAGGGTTTACTTCAGGTACACAGGGTTTACCACAGGTACACAGGGTTTACTTCAAGTACACAGGGTTTACCACAGGTACACAGGGTTTACCACAGGTACACAGGGTTTACCCTAGGGACACAGGGTTTACCACAGGTACACAGGGTTTATGAATCAATATAAAGCTGATATTGTTGATATCTGATAGTGTTGTCTCTGTTTGTCAGGATAAAGGTTTTAACATTCCAGTCTGTGTTTTAGTGTCTGCAGGCCTCCAGAGTCCAGCAACTGAACCCTCAGTGGTGTCAGTATGGATCAGACCAATGACAGGAGGAATCAGAAGGATTCAGGATTTGGAACCAGCAGTTTATTGACTGAGGCACGTTGGCTTCAGTGCCCCACTGACCTGCCTCAGGCTGCAGTCAGCCAATCAGAGCAGAGCTCTGCTGTCAGCTGACTCTGGAACAATACCGTCACACCTCATACATGAAGACAAGGATGGTTTTCACAGCAACAGATTAATGCTGTGTTTCAGACAAGTGAAAACCACAACTGGCAACATGCTAACTAGCTTCCTGTTAGCTACTGTTAGCTACATCTGATATGCAGCTGACTGACTCACATTCTGGCCTCAGGAGGCCCTCTGGACCAAAGTGGTGCTGGACTAATACAGTTTTACCTCAGCTTGCTGGATTCCTATCAGTGTTAGCTCAGCTAGCTGGTTTTAAACATTGCTAGCAAAGTTGGCTGAATTCATACAGTTAACTCATCTAGTTGACTTCAGTGTTAAGGTAGTTGATTGGTCAGTTAATTAACCTCTTTGTGGGTTAATGAAGATGAGTCAGCTGAATCACTGTAGAAACACAATAGAAACATTAGAAACTGTTGTTAGATGCAGTGTTCTTGTCTGTCCTGATATAAGTTCAGTTGAATTTAACTTTGTTCTGATTGGCTGTTCCACCTGCAGATTGTAGAGCCTCTCAGCTCCACTCATGGATCTGAGGTTACAGTGTGTAACCTTCATATAGTTTCAGCCCGCTAGGATCATCCCGGGACCAAAAACTGATGAAGGAAGCAGTTCTTCACAACGTCAGGAGGTCTGCTGGAGGTCAAAACAAAACCATTTCTTGATCTGAAGAAACAAAGCATGAAGTTTGAGTCTTGAACTAGGTTTAAGAACTGGTTTCTGCACAGAGTTTAGATGTGATCCAGTCTCAGAACCAGATTATAATGTGGTGAGATTTCACAGTAAAGTACAACATCAGTTCTATATAGACCCCACTGAGTTATAGAGGAGAGGATCATTTCACAACACAAATAAATCTATACATATATATTATATTATTAATTATAATTAGTATATGAATTTATTCTTGCTTTTACTCTGCTACCAGAGATAATCAGGACATTTGATACTGAAATGACTATCTGATCAAACAGAAAGTTAATAAAGAATAAAAGTAGATTAGAAATAAAAAGTTTAAACATTCAGAATCAGATTTTCCTTTCCCTTTACAGGTAAAACTTTCCATCTTCAATTTAATTTAGTCATTTCAAGATCAAGCTTAAAGAACCTAATCCATTTAAAATGTGAATTATCTACTGAAGCAGAATCAACACAATGAATCCGTTCTTGTTTTAAAAACTGGATCCTGCTGTTGTACTTTTATTATTCCAGATGATATTTTTCTATCTCTGCTGTGAGTCTGAACTCAGTAAACATCTGAAAAGTCGGCAGTTTGATGTGATTACAGATTAAAAATGGTGGAAATGAGACTGAAGACAATTGTGTTTGTGCTTTTTTGCTGAAGATGAGAAAAAAACTGATTCAAGCATCGTTATTATTTGAAGGTTATTTCTCAGATTGTGAATCATTTTATGTTTTAGTGTGTATCAGTGTGTATGAGCAGAGAGTGAATGGGTTGTAACGTAGCAACTTGCTCTGCTGCCTGTGGACTGATTTCTATATGTTTCTATGTAGGGATGAGGGTCCAAGGATGTGAAGTTTATGCTCCTGAGAGTCAACAACAGAGTCCAAAGTCAAAGCTAACATTGCTGCAAAGATTATGGAACATATTGTCTAAGTGTGCTTTTAGCATATTGACTGATGTGGACAAATTGCTAGCAACTCAAAATAATGTCAGCCAGACTCTCGGGCTAATCTGGCTGGCTTACACTTTTGTCGACTGGCGTTGTGGACCGGCTGGTGCCAGATAATGTTATTCAGTGGGGTGTTCAGTGTTTGTCACTGTTGGCTGCCAAAATACAGTGTATATATTGTGTATACATAATACTGTGTACAGTGTGTACATAATACTGTGTATAGTGTATAGACTATATAAATACTGTGTATATATACTGACAGATACACAGTGAGAATCAGACAGGAAGTGACTTTTCAGTTTGAAATGAGAGCTTCATATTAACATGGAGATACAGATTTAGTTATGGTCCACTGAGTGTGTGTGTGTGTGTGTGTGTGTGTGTGTGTGTGTGGATAAAGTGAATGTGACAGGAAAAGAAATCCAG